CAGACCTGTGTTGAGCGTGTCTTTCGAGTGCACTTATTGGACAGGAAGTGGGAACAAGCCAAGGAAGACAGTGCAGGCTGTCAGGCAGATGAATAAATCGATCCCTTTGTATTTAAAATGCAAAAGATTATCAACCTATCTATGCTTCCTTCATGTAGTAGTTAATGATTTCTTTTAAAACCTTACCAGTGTTGCAGGATTAACTCTAGTGGGGATCTAGTTCACAAGGTCTCTATCTCCAGGCACAATCAGAAGGTTCTTTTCTGGGAGCTTCTAAGAGCTTTATCCTCTGACATTGTTTTGAAATTGTGCTCTGGATGAAGGTTGATTTTTTTTCAGGTCTGTGAGGAAACATGACCCCTTTAGTATTAGAGTGAGGAAAAGTCTTCATTCAAATGTGTTTGGGTGGGGAACTTTGAAGCCTGTTGTTACAATACAAAGTTCTGGGAGATTAAAAAAAAACAAACCACAAAAAATTTTGGGAAACTGCTGGAAAACTTTTATATTTGCAGTCATGGTCTTCCAGCTTTGCTTATCACTTTGGTCTGTATCAGTAGGACTGAAAATTTGGCTGTTTTATGGGCAGTAAGTGCATGATTTTTGTTTTCTTTGTGGGGGATGGAAAGGAATTATTGGAAATAAAATTCCTGTCTTGCTTCTGCTATGCAGTGAAGCAGAGGTAGCAAGTACATGAACGTCTTGGGCAGAGGCTCAGGCGATGCACTTAGAAACACTGTCCCACTTCCCCCATGACAAATCCACATTTATACTGATTTGATGTAGTTATAGAAAATTAAGTATAAATAATGCGGAGGTGAGCAGTCTCCTGTTTCCTTCACAGGTGTCTGGGAAATGGCAGTAGGCATTTCTGTTCTCCCCTGGGTATAAGAACACTGGCCAGTAAAATCTTCTAGGTTCTGCATCATTTCACAGTCTTCATTACTGAAAATTTACTGCTCTGCCTCCCTGGCTTGCTCCTGTACTGCTGCTCCCTGGATCAGTGGAATTCCTTTTTCATCCTGCTTTAAGTGGTAGCAAGCACAGCAGACTGACTGTTATCCATGGGAAATCCTTACGGGATGATCTGTCTTACAAGACCCACACACTGCCTTGTCCACTCCAGTGCTCCTCATGGCAGTTTGTCCCTGAACACCCTCTGTAGCCTTATTTACAGACTTGCAGTGTGACATGATGGTTTAATACAGTGTCTAAAGCTAAAATACAGACACTGAGACATGAAGGACAACTGAGTGGGCAGAGAAATGGCATGAAGCACAAGTAGCCCTGCCCATGGCACAGCAGCTCTAGGACTGTCACTTTTCAGCTTCTTAGATCCCCTTCCCCTCAAAACATGAGTCTGGAGAGAGGAGGAGGGAAGGTCAGAGGAGGCAGATGGGTCTCAAACTCTGGTTTTCTTTTACCTGTGTTTCTTTCCTTTCCTTTCTATTTAACTTTAAACCCAAGTGATTAGGTTGGTTCTTGGTCCCTTGCAATTTAGTAATACAATCATGCCTTAGCCTAAGAGGCATTAAAACTAAACCCCATCAGAGGCAACAGCTGTGCTCAAGGAGAAATGCATGAGCTGGCAACAGTTGGTTTCTGGTTCTGGCAGTTCTCTTTGCTGCACAGGAAAGGTGAAGCCCACACAAGTGGCCCATGCTCCATCTCCAAACCTGGCCACCTCAAAGGTGGTTGGAAGGTCAGAACTCAGCTGGGCAAAGGCACAAAGCTCTGTGTGTCTCAGGGGTGGCTGCCTGCACAAGCCTGTCCTGCTGCTGCCTCTCCAGCTAGCACAGCCCTGCTCTGAGCAGCCTCTCCAACAAGGCAGCTAAGCAGTTTGCTGTGCAGAGAATGAATCAGCCCCGAGTGGGTTTGGAGGTAAAAAGGCAGAGCAGAGAACACTCCAATATAAACCACCAGAATAATGCTGACTTTAGACCTGAGAAGACTGGCTTAGTTGTGGCATGTTTGTTTTGTTTTGTATGGTTGTGTGTTGGGACAGGACTGAAATCTCTGCAGGGTTTAGAGTTCACCCTCGTGTCTTCAGATTACTCAGCAAGCTCTTTGCTAGGCTACAAAGTCTTTGTTTGCTCTCCCCTTGCTCTAGATCTTCCAAGGATTTGCTTTTCTAGATTTGTAGTGAGTAGAAAACAGCATAAGCCAAACTACCAAGTAGTTTCATTCACCACATTTTGCTTTTGCAATAGAAATCTTTAATACAAGCAATCTATGACATGAGCTGACTGATTTTGCCAAAGTATTTTAACAGCTAGGAGACTCTTAGTAGGTCTGTAGCAGAAGCTGGGCTTTTGAGCACTTACCTCCCTGCAACTCTGAGCTCTAAAGAGAAGAGTCCAAAACAGCTATAAAGCTAAAAAGAAAGAAGTATGTGCCTTTAAGTTTGCTTTGTCTGCTGTACTATAAAAAGAAGCATGACAGATACTACTTAGGTTTAGATTAAGCTGGCTTTCAGGATATTTCTGTAAATAAGGTTTGGGGTTACAGTTGACAACATGAGAATATCTCCAATCAGAGGCAAAGGAAGAGAGTCTAAAGGTGTAGATTAGATTATTTGGTCTAGTGTGGTTCTCTAAGACACATTTCATCTGATTTAACTGTACATATATTAATCTCACTCGACCCAGACCAGGAATGACCCTGACAAGAAGGAACACAGTCAGGGGGTGGTGTCCTTCTGAACTGTCAGAGCTATGGTTCATGGCTGTCTGGCATTTTCTAGTTATCAGCTCTGTGAGTCTTTGTGCTTCAAACTGCTGCTGTTTATCTATCACAGGATTCATCATGATCTATAAAAGCTTTTCAGTTAGATGTTTGCAATGAAAATACGAGGACTGAGACACTCTTGGCATTTGTAACTTTATTGCAGAAAAAAAAATCCACTATCAACATATTTTACAAACAAAGTTGCACTTTGGTGTTGGGCGAGTTTTTCCTCACCCCTTTCCCCTGCACAGCGATGCATGGGAAACCAGAACAACCAGCCTCTGCCCTTTTGATTGTGTGCAGACACACTTCCCAGATATGCCAGCCTGCACCAGTTCCAGCCAGGATGGAGTTCTATTTTCCACCACTAACTTGCCAACTTTGTGCCGAAAACCAGCAGCACCCTGCCCTCCGGCAGGGGAAACAAGTCTGTAGCTAGGGAGATCACTCTGTGCAGACAATGCTTGATACAAAAGCTTTGGAGCTGTGACAATTGCTCTTTAGTTCTCATGCAATCATAGAAGAGAACCAACCCTCTTCCCTATTTCACTGGGCATAAATACAGAGATGGAAGGCCAAACTGAAGCCCAACTGCACTGCAGCCATTTGTCAGCCACTCTGGAAGCAGCAGCACAGGGAGGAGGAACTGCTGCCTTACCCAGTTCATCTATTTGACCCAGACCGGTTCTGCTCCATCTTTGGGCTTTCCAGGTAACTTGAGCTCAGCTGATAGGGAATTACCCTTTACCCTGCTATGACAACCACTAACAGCACTGGGGAAAAAAAGGTACTTTTGCAAGTGAGGCCTGGTATCTGTCTTTGTGGGGTTCAGTGATGTTGCTCCTAAAAGGAGAGGAGAAACTGAGGCTTGTAGAGAAACGTGGCAGATAAACTCTAGCCCTTGTATCCTGAGGGAGCAACTGGCTTAGTCAAAAATCAAACACTCTAGAGAAGGCATGTGTTTCCATTTTCCTGCAGTCAAATCTGAGTTAGAAAACAGGAGCGGGTGTAATTACATGAAGATTGTCATGTCACACACACTCCGGTCTTCTTGAGGCAAGGGCACCAAAAGCTCCTCTGATTTATACTCAGAGGCTCTAGTCTATGGGTTTCCTTGAGAGGCCTCAAGAGCCTTGGATGCAGTCTACAGCAGTGATATTTTGAGGCAAAAGTGCAGAATCTAATCAGCATAACACCAAGAAAGGGAAGGGGAGGAAGGCACCTACATCCAGGATCTGTCCTCATGACAAGACACAACTGGCTCAAAAGACCAACATCAGAAAGTAGAGGAGCTCTGACCTTGCATAGCACAGGAGGGAGAGCAAAGCACCAGCTTTGTACAACTTCCAGCAACCAGATGCTAGAAGCAAAATGGGAGGTACCTGAGGAAAGGCTTGTGTTAGCCCAGGCATGGGAATGGACTAAAGCATTTACTGGGCCTGGGAAAGGAGTTTACACATATGCCAAAAGCATCAAGTGTAGGAGACACGGTTTCCTAATTGTGGTGAGACCAAATTAGTGTGTCTAATTGGCAATAGACCGAGTCCTATCAAGCTCAGTTAAGCTAACATTATGTTCAATTTCCTCCCAGCAACTTCAAAGCAACATCAAGTAGCAGGGGCACTTCTCCAGTGGCCACAAAACACTTTTCCCTTGTTGAAGAGAAAAGGTATGCATCAGGAAGGAAGCAGAGTAGTCTTTTATCCTCCTGTAGGTGTTTCAGGATGGGTAATGCCAATCCTAGGGCTAAAGCTGAAAGAGGAACAAAAACAAAAGTGCAAGAAAACCCCCAAAACAAACAACCTTAAAAATACCGAACAAGAGGGAGTCCAAGAGAACTGATTTCCACATCCTTGGCTTCCTCAGAAAACAGCAGTCTCCTTTGCTGGCACTGTGCTGACACCACCACTGTTAAGAGCCCTAGTCTGAAACACTAGCCCACCTCCTTTGAAGGCAGCAGCCACCAAGATCAACAGAAGAGATCCATGCAGGACACCAAGGCAAAGGTTGTCTTGGCTAATTGGTTGCCACACTAAAAGGAGGGGACACCTCTTCAGGGCATTGTTTTGAGGAGAGCCTGGAGAAAAGGGTCAGACTTGGGCTCTGATTTGCAGCATAGAAACTTCAACACTGAACTATTGAAAACATCTAAAACCAAAAACCATCTGAAAAGGATCTTTCAGTTGTGTGCAAATCACAGCCCCTCATTCCTCAGCAGATCGTCTGGGACCAAGTCCTCAAGGCCTTTTCCTCTGGGCAGTAGACAGCCTGGTTGCCTAGTAGCTGTAGAGGGAGAGAGGGGTGTCCTCCATCATGTCATCCTAGAAGCAGAGAAGAGGGGCTTTAATGAGATGTCTGCACAGTGGCATCATGGTCCCAGCCTGGGAGACTGCTGTGCAGGCAGCACAGCCTTCTCAGCCACGCCTCACAGCATGGCATCTGCCCAGCCATCCACCTAAACGCTGTCACTGTGCACTTCCTGGATCTTTGGGCTGTCAGTCTCTCTCCTGCTGCAGCATTTGGAGAGAAGATGTGTGTGCAGGAACTGCCTGCCTGCTGCAGGCATGTGGAAAACTCTGGCTGTTGAAAACTCCACTCAGCTTGAAACAGCTCAGCTTGCGTGCTTAGCTGCGGTACTCCTCTGTTCCAGAAAGTTCAGGGAGTTATTTGCAGCTTCCCCAGAGCTAGTCCAGCCTCTGGAACCCTCATATATTTTTATATTCCCAAAGGGTCAAACACAGACAAACAGACAATCTCTCTGGAACAGAGCATAAAATCTGCTTTGTCACAGTTACAAAGCAAATATATCAGAAAACAGGAGAGGGCAGGAAGGTGTCATTTCAGGACAAGCCTGGATGGAGCTCTCCTTCCTCTCTCTAACCTCTCAGCATTCCCCTGCAGAGTGAGGGGAAGGCAGAGAGCTTCTTTAGTGCCCAGCCTCGAGACTTGCTGTCTTGACTCAAACCTTGGATGGAAGGAGAGGGACCTAAGGAGGAACAGGAGTGTGTGATCAGCACTGGTGCTGGTGCAAACACCCAGAGGGCTGCTAATGAGGGAGAGCTGCAAAGCAGTCAGTGGCAAGGCAGCCCAGGTGGGGCTGGGCTGGAGGCAGACTCACCATGGGCAGGTCCTGCAGGCGCCGGAACTCGGTGCGGTTGTTGTGCTGGCGGTAGCGCAGGAATCCCACCAGGGCCAGGATGGCCACCATGACAATGAACACGGAGATCACAGTGATCACCAAGGGGTCAGCCCTCGCTTTACCAGCCAAACTGGGGAGCTCTGCAAGGAGACCAAGGGAATGAGGCCAAAGGAGAGCCCTCAAGGGCTGGAACAGCAAGGCTTTGTCTTTTCTGGTTCTGCTCAGTACAACCAAGAGACAATTTCAGGTAGCTCCAGCCCTTTGCCATGTTTTGTGAGAACAGGTACAAAACAATTACAGAATCTATTACAGGCTGGAAAAGACCTCTGTGATTATCAATCCAACCTATGACCTAACACCACCTTGTCAACCAGACCATGGCATTGAGTGCCACATCCAGTCTTTCCTTAAACATCTCCAGGGACAGTGACTCCACCACCTCCCTGGGCATCCCATTAAAAGCAGAGCCTTTACCTGAATTATCATCACCAACATCCAACACAGAAGTCTTCTCATGCCTGGGCTCCAATGACTGTGCCAGTGTGGGCGTGCTGGTGGGGATGGCAGCTGTGCTGGCAGATGTGGAGCTGGTCACGAGGGGTGTCACCGTCACTGTCACAGTACTGGAAGCAGTGGCAAAGGACGTGCTCCGTACAATGGAGATGGGAGCAGAGGAAGTTCTGGGCTCCACAGTGCTCTCCTCTGTGGTACCCACAGGGCTCGTTCCTGCCTTGGTTTCAGACCTTGCTGCTGTGGGCCTCAGGGTCTGCCCATCAAAAAGCCCTGACTGAGAGCTGTTAGTTGTTGCTGCAAAATAGGAACAAGCAGTTATTTCAAAGGATCCAGTGCAAGCACACTGTTCTGTGGGACTGGACAAGATGGAAGCAAGACTGTAAGAAGGACTGCTGGGACTATAGGAATAGCAGCTTATTGTCAACCCTTTGGAAAACAAGCAGAGCCTTTAGCACAGCCACAGCTGAGCCACACTATAACCCACAGTGCTTAGAAAGTCCTCTCAGTTTTCATATGTGCCAATCTGCAATGTCAGCCAACCTCAGCTGGGCCCACAAGGCCTGTCCTTGGGGACAAAGGACAAGCAGACAAGCTTAAACAACTTTACACACAGCTGGGGATCACCCCAGAGCAAGATACTGGGACAGGCCTCTCATCCCTCCTTACAGGGAGCACAAAGGGGGCTGCCCAGGGACTGGGTAGCAGCATCCCCTGAGGCTGTGTCAGTTGTCACAGAACAGCAGCACCACGTGACACAAGCCAGGGAAAACAATGCAGTTGTGCATGAACATCATATAAATAAGTGATCAGTCAGTATCTGCCTTGCGTTAGGGGTGTGTGACATCCTGGCAGGCCCCAAGATGGACAAAACTGGGATTGCAGACCCTATAACCAGTCCCCATGCTGCCCAGAGGGATCTGAAGGTAGGGTAAGGTTTCCTGTGGTTGCCCAGGTATGCATGAGCTGTCACTTGTGCTTGCCAATCTCCATGTTTTGTGTTAAGGGAGGGTGTGCTTCTCCAGGGAGGCTCCCATTGAGCCCCCAGCCCTGATGCCAGAAAGGCCCAGCTAGGCAGTGCTGCTAAGGCATGTTGTTTCAGATTAGATATATGAAGGATGTCCCTGCACACAATCAATCAGAAAGCAGCCAGCACAATTAACACCAGCATTAATGAGGTTTGCAAAGAGGATGCTGAACTAACATCTTTGCAAATAAATTGCACTGAACTGGCTCTGCTTTAGTGTTTCATTCCCTTCTTCTCCCTCTCTCCAGTTAGCAGGAGAGTGCTCAGACATTTCAGGTTGTGCATCCCTGAGGCAGGACTTTGTGCACAGGCAGGGAAAGCAAAACCTCACCCGGCCCAGTGTTCAGAGGAGGCGTGGGGGTTGCACTGCTGGCATCATCCGTTTCTTCAGTTGTGCTGAAAGGCTCTGTGGCTTCATGGCTGGGCTGGTTTTCTTCCAGAGTGCTGGCAGTCAAGGTAGGGGAGGTGATTTCAGTGCTGCTGTTGACTGACAAGCTCATGTTGTCATGCTCAGGATGTGTAACTGTGATGTCCGCAGGACTGGCAGTGGTAGAAGCCTGCAGTCTCTCTGCCTTGGAGCCTGCCATGGGGGTGGTGGGGATGAAGGCATCCTCCACCTCTGTAGAATGGGCCCCCATGGCACTGAGTGTTGCAGCAGTCAGGTTTTTCTCCAGGCCTGTCTGAGGAATGGCAGCAGTCACTGGAGGGACATCAGAGGCTTCCCTTGGCCGAAGCGAGGTTAGCGCGGTGCTAGGAAAAGGTGACAGTGACACCAAGGCCTCTGCTGTCTGCTGGCCCTCTGCTGTGGAACAGAGAAGTTTGTCAGAGATCCCACAGTGAGAGGACAAACAGGGGGGAAGGACAGAAATGGAACTTCTTTATCCCCTTAATTCCAAATCCAGCACAGGTTCACACCTGGGAACGGGATTCAAACAGCTCCTCTGTCCTCCTGGTTTTTGAGGCAGGGACCTGTTCTAGGGGACTTTTTCTTTACCCTACTGTCTCCCCAATCCTGTGCTGTTGTTCTCTAGGGTCAGCACGACCAATCCCTCTATCCTTGAGCATCTTTTAAACGTTTTTAGAGGATTTGGGTTTGTTAAAAGTATCACCCAAGACCTGATTCTGTAAGAAATTTAAAAAAGTCTTTGGGTTATTGAGAAAGAGTCAAAAGTGGTGCTGAAAAAATACAAATGAGGAAAATGTGAAAGAAGACTCTCTAGCTCCCCTGGCCCAATGAAGCAGAAAGAAGTGATATTTAAAAAGACTGTGGATGGCAAAGGTAAAGCACATATTGTGAGTCCCCTCAGCAGTAGTGTGGGATTCTGCTGGAGGGAAAGGTGAATGGGCAGCAAGAGTACTACAGCTAACGGGGCTGGGGTGTGCCTTCCTGAGCTATTTATGAACACATCACCACCACGAAATACAACAGTTGTCATAGAAATGGGGAGCTACTCAGCCCCCCACTACAGCAAAAAGGTACCTGAAGGGAACCTGCAGCAAGCAAAGATCCCCCCAGATCCACAGCTGCTAGACAGTGTGACAGCATAGAGGAGGAGGAAAACCAAAAGGCTCTTACACTGCCTGTTCATAAACACAGATCCTGTGAGGGTTTGTCAGGGTATAAACAGGAAGAAAACAGAGAAATGTAGCCACATCAGGATGGACTCTCCAATTTAAAAATGTCTCATAGTCAATATTTTGACAATTTCTGTTAAAGTTTCTGTCCAAGCCACAAAGGACTGATGAGCTAATTACAGAAAAAAATAAAGGTACTGAAGCAAATCCATCATCATGTCCCTTCTCCCCACAGTGAAGAAGCATCCAAAGCAGATGCTATCAGCAAGAAACATTCATCCACCAGCAAAGCAGCCCATTCTTATACTGTTTTGGGGAAATTTCAGCAATTTTTAAAAGCTCTTCAGAACATACAGAGTTATCAGAGCTCTTCTCCAGCTACAGCACTTAACAGGCCCTAAAAAAAGACACAATACATGGCTCTCTCAAGACCTTTGCAGTACCCTGACCAGCTGGAGAATTCAAAGCCCTGAGCAGCCTGATGGAGCTGTGCTTCCCCAGCCTGGGGCCCCAGTCCCAGAAGGGCTCCCGCAGGGATGCACAGCCCTGCTCAGCACATTCAGAGAACGAGCTCTCACAGGGAACCCAGCTGGGGCAACTTGAACATGAAGACCAAAGGCCTATGTGATGCTCCCTTTGGCCTCTCCTGGATCCCGACGTGCGTGGCCAGAAGGTGCCTCCAAATAAAGCGAGCTGCTCTGCCGTGGAGCTCAGGTGTAGGATACACCAATAACACCTGTGAGGAAAAGAGCTGAGCTCTGGGTTTCGTGGAACCAAAAGGCATTGTCACCAATTGTCACCAAATGTGACAATTTCCAGCCCTAAACACAGCAGTGCTATTGAGCACGGGTGGGATCCCACCAGCTCCGGCTGCTGGCTGGGCACTGGCGGATGCTTGCTCAGTAAACACCCCACTGCCTGCTCCTGCAGACCAGAGACAGAGCCCTGCTGTCACCACGGGGTAAACAGGAAAGGTGGTGCTCAGGTGCCTGGCCAGGGGCGAGCCTGGCTATGTGCTGCTCTGAATAGCTGGCCTGTGTCCGGGACAGCCTCTCATGGGGTGGCAAGTCATGACTTGAGTCATGCTGAGGGAAAGATTTGTGGAGAGCCGTCTTGCACAAAGGCCTGAGCAACTCGGCAGCCATCATGCCAGTTTCTGACCAGAGAAGTGATAGGCAAGATGGGTGCTAATGTCTTTACAAGCAGCTCCATGAGTGAGGGTCTTTAGGAGAAATGGGTCTTAATGTCTCTACCAACCTCAAGCTGCAAAGTTCGTTGCAGAACCCAGTTTGAATTTCTGGTGGATGCGCAGAACCCAGATAGCCTGAACTTAGGAGGAAAATGGGTGATTTTATGCACAGAAGGAAAGTCGGAGGGAAGGCAGATGAGTCTGGGTCCTACACACCAGGACGCCTCCCCGCATGCCAGGAACTGGCATCCCTGCCACGAGGTGCTGTGGGACAGGAGGGCTTACGGGGACAAACAGCTCCCCCCAATCCAGTGCACGCACAGCTTCCTGCTGTCTGCAAGAGGGACAGCCAGAGGGACTGGCATTTCCCTAAGCTCTTCTCTCCGAGAAGCCACTTGGCTTCTTCCCACAAAATTATCTAGTGTCCATCACTGCGAAAGAAGATGGTTCCCGGGTGGATGGGCCGCTCTGGTGTAGCACAACATCGTGGTGTGAAAAACCTGGTTTGCAGAGAATTGCAGAAGAGATTTTAAATTAGCAGGTGAGGAACAAGGGACTGTTTTGAGTATGGCAAGTGTTGATGGCACCTTAATTAGCAAGTCATCCAGCCCAGCTCACCCAGCTCAGGAAACAAAGGAGAGCCTAATCCAGACTAACATTCTAAAAATTCAAGACATTAAGAGATGATGGTGGGAAGATAGAAAAGGCAAGAGCCTTAGAATGGCCAAGGAAACAAAAGACTGAGTAAATCCTGATCACCCGGGGACAGGCAGACAAAGGATTCCCATCACCCATCTGTCAGCTCCTAAGGAGTAAGGGCACATCGAAAGCCAGCACAGTCACCAAGCAAAGCACCTGGGGAAATCCCCCAGAGGTGCAACTTGTTCCTTGTGAGCTGTAGGTGTTAAAAGGTACAAGCGCTGAGTTTTATTTCAGTTTCAATTGAAAATAAACCCACTCCTCCAAAGGGCCTTGCTGCAATGCCCCAGCTTTGTTTGCCAGTTTTATCATCCATCCAAAAGGACAACCTACTGCCACGCAAACGCAGCGCGGGGCAGAGGCTGCGGTGCAGAGGGAGAGCAGAGCACTGCTGCCTGTGCCGGGGCAGACCCAGCAAACCCCGCCCGGGCTGGCATACTCAGGGGTCCAGCTCCTGCTCTGCTCTGGAGCTCGGTACCCAACAGGTCGGGAAAGCCCCAGCTCCAGCGCTGTCGTTGCTGCCCCAGTCACTGGGTGCTGATGGTTTTAGCTGTTTATCAGTTACCTATAGAGATGCAGGTCAGAGTTCGTTCCTCTGGAGTCTTCACCCTTGAATCCATAACAGAGCAGCTATGACTGTCTCAGGATCTGTAAGCAAGAGCTCTGACCATAAGAATATGTCTTTCCCTGATAGGGGACCAAGGGTGAGCTTGCTTTATATTTCAGCCTGCTGAAGCAGAGCTGGTCCCCTGGCTACAGCCCCACTCCTGCCCCGTGTCTGTGCTAACCCCCCAGGCTCAGCCTGTGCGTGGTGAGAACAAGAGATCCCAGACCACATTAGGGCAGGGCTGGTGGATTTGGAGCAGCAGCTCCCATCAGACTGTGCTGACTGCAGTGACCTCTGTCTGGGAAACAAGAGGGGCAAAGGAAGAGAGTGGTCCCAGGGGAGGAGGGATGCAGCCAACCAAGAAGCAGCCCCTGCCTTGGATAAGGGTGGGAAACACTCCCAGCTCTTTCAGGGAAGGGAGGGCTCTGAACATCAGCCCACAGCTTTGACCCCTCTCTGGCATTGTCTGACAACACTGAGTGATTTCCACGTATCAACCCAAGCTCCCTCCAGCCCCAGAACAGACATGGTAAATTATGCTAAAACAGAGAGGAGTAAAGGAAGCCAGCTCTGCAGGAAACGGGGCCATTCCTGCCTTGTGCTCCCTGCCCAAGATTCAGGGCTGGGGCCAGGCAAGGGGCTGAGGGAGGTTTGCACAGGCAGGACAGAGTCACTGCTGTGCCAGGGTAGTCACACAGGGTGATCTCCATGCTCTGCCACAGCAGCCACCCCACATCTATTTGCTTCTCAGATAAAACAATAACACAGAGCAGGGCCTCAGCTGGACAAACCCTCAACAAGCTTCTGCCACAACCCTCCTGCCTCTCTCAGCAGCATCCTCTGCACCCACCTTCCTGTCTGGCAGAAACAGCAGCCTGAGCTCCCCAAAGGCCAACACCAACCCAGCTCCAATCATAGACTTGAACACTTTTTAAAATCCCTTTTAGGATGAGATGAAGATGAGGAAGCCCATGGCAGGCTGGCTCCTGGGGACTGAGGGAGAGAGCAGGGCAGCAGGGTGCAGCCACCACTGGGAAAAATGCGCAGAGTCCCAGGTGAGAGCTAAGCACAAAGATGAGAAGGATTCCCCCAGGATTTCAGAGAAAGTGCCCATGGGAGCAGGACTCCCTGGTGTTGATGTATCATCCTGCACAGGCTGTCACTGTCTGAGGACAGCACCTCACTTAAATCAGCTTCCTACAGAATGCATGTCAAACTACTGCTCTGATTCATTGAAAAGGCACCCAAACTCTTCTACAATGCTATTTTGGTGCACTAAATGAATTCAATTTCCATTTAAGTGTAACAGCTCCACTCACAAACAACCTGGTAAAATGGAAAAATACAATGTTTAAAAAGCCAAAGTATAAACTATAACCTGTATGTATCAAAGCAGTCATATCTTATTGCTTAGCAAACTATTTCATTAAGTGTAGAAATTATCTTTTGTTGCCAGTTATTACATTTTATGATTACCAACCAACAGTAATTAGACAATCTCTTCAAGGAAAAAAAGCTTGAGTATAAATGCAAATAAAACCATATAGTGGGATTTAAAACCAAGGCTCTTCATTTCATTTAAAAGCAGAACTGGAATAGCTCCTGATTAG